GGAGGAGGAGGAAGAGGAGGAGGAGGAGGGGAGGAGAAGAGAAGGAAAAAGTTTTGATTGAATTAAATTCATCTATATAAGTGAATTTATTCTAGTGGGATTATCCATTTCTTTGGTTTAAATTAGCTTAATTTAAGCTATTTTTATCTGGTTTAGGGTTGATTTTGATAAATTTCACTTTTTAAAAAATGATTAATTGCCTTACGTCAAATTTGCAAATTTATTCACATATATAAAACTGAGCAAAACATAACTAGATCTAAATTCTCCTATTTAGATAATGATTGTAATGATTTTCCTCTATCATTTTCTTTTATATATTTTGATTACCTCTTTCTCCTCCTGAAATAGGTAGTATTTCTTTCCATTTAGATTACCTACCACTTTATTCTATTTTTTAGTAAAATGTTAGTTGTTAGATATAGCTTTAGTTCATGGATTTTCAGTTTTCCTATCCATTAATTCCTAACTTTATTTATGATAATTCTTTCTCTATGCTTCTCTTTGCTTAATCCATTGCTGTTTTACAAACTTGTTTAACTGGATATCTAATATTTTATTCCTATAAATATTTAAAAGTATGCTTTTTTCTTTGTTTACTTCTTTGGCTACATTTTAAGTCAAACAGTTTAAATCAGTGTGTTTTAATGATTCTTTTAAGAAGTAATACTGAAGGCCTTTTGCCTTTCTTTTCCAATTATAATGTTGCATCAAACCTGTCTATTTTGAATTTGCATTCATTTTTATAATTTCTCTCATTCCTTCTTCAACATCTTCACATCAGATAAGATGCTCTCCATTGGTTTTCTTTCATTTTTTTTTTGTTTATTTCTTTGATAGCTATTTTTTCCTTCTCCAATGTGACCATTCAAATGTTGTCTTCTCATATTATCTTGTCACCTCTTCCCCAAATTTTTATATTTTTCTTTGAACTTTTTATTTGTAGGTATAGTTATTTTGTGTATGTTTTTCTTTCAATTGGTAGTCAAATATTTGGTCACAATATTCTGCATTGTAGCAACATTTTTCTTGTGAATAGTCTTCATTTGCTGGTAAGTTTTGATGCTCTCTTGCTTTGTTTTATTCTTAAGGTTCGTCAGTTAGCACTTGCAGTTTTTTTCTTGGTCATCACTGAATCCTGGGATCAGCTGTTTGTGGGAATTAACTTTCTGGTAGGAAGTCTAGCAGCTGTCTACAATACAATCTAGGATGCCACAGAAGAGAAGCATTCTTGAAAATGTGGCCCATAGATAGAATTATTGATGAAGCCTTCATTCTCTACTTCTACCAAATCCATTCTGTGACCAGTCTACCAATATCTCTGATTAACCCAGGTCCCACATCTACTGTAGTAAACACAGGATATGGTTTCTACACCTCCGAGTGTATTCTTCACCTCCAGGAAAAGCTGGTCTTTCTGACTTAGCAGTTCGTCACCCCTCTCCTCGTCTGTTCTGGTCACTTCTTCTTGCATTATTTCTTTCCGTTCTTGGCTATTTTGGGTAACCATGAACACACATTTGTAGGATCTGTGAATTATATATGTCTCCCATTTTAACCTAAATAGGAATTTCCATGGCTCTGATTCTTTAATTTTTCTCTTGGGATTTTTGGTAATTTTTGTGATGATAAGAATAAATGCCAATTTAGGAATGTCATATTCTTCCCAGAACTGGTAAGGCAGCCTTTCAGCCAGACCCCTGTGTTTCCATTCTGCCCTCTGCTCGTCCTTCTTATGTGTTGGTATAATATGCTACTCTTTGGAAACACAAGTCTTTAAAAAACCCATTTGCCCACCTACTCAAAGGTCTGCTTTGCAGGACGCTGCCGCACTTAGACTCCTAACCTGCCACCTGAGGCTGTCCTCTGGCCCTAGTCCTTCCTCACTACCCCTTCTCCTGGGCTCCGTTCCCTCCTCAGTCTTCTCTTCCCAGCCCCCTTAGTTTTTGCCTGCCATTTCTTCCATGCAAAATGTTCTTCCTCTGCCCTTGCCACAAATATGAGCACATCTGGCCTCAAACCCCCAGCTGAAAATCATTTTTCTCTTCTTCTGGACTCCTGTAATGCTTTCTTCTTTGCTTACCTTAGAGCCTTTGTCTTTCTCTCTGACAGTATAGTTATATTCCCGTTTCTAGTCTTCCCTCCTAACATAAAGACTCCAGAGAGAATAATTCTGCCTGATATATCTTAGTTTCCCACAAAACATCTAGCACAATGAAAATACTCCATAAATATGTGTTGAATGAATGAGGTCAGTCTCAGTGCCTAATAAGAAGAGAAATAAATACTGCTTTAAAGATTAATCATTTTTCTGGGCTTCAGGGACACCATCCTTCCATAAAGGGAGGAACTGAGGTTTTACTGTGATTTGATCTTTTCAGGAAATAGAATTTTTTAAAGGAGCCGCTCATTATCGAGGGGGCCAACTAATGGAGCCCCAGCTCTCTGGTCCCACAGGCCCACACTCATGCTTCTGCTGCGTGATCTTCCCTGCATCTGGGGCACGTCTGCTCAGGCTGCTCTGCTGTCCTGATCCCACCAGGGCCTGACCTATGTCTTCCCCTCTCTGAAGACTTCCCCAACCTCCCAGGACTCAGGGACGGGTTTTCTCACGGACTCTCAGAGCAAATTTGTCATCCTATAATACTTACCAAGGATTACTTTGTGTGTTCACGCAGTGACTAAATTCCTTGTCTTCCCAAGTAGGTTGGATTCTTTGAGGACAGGAATGATAGTCTTTTGTTCCTAACCTTGAATAACTGGATCCGAGCCAATGATATCACTAAGAGGCTTCCAGAACCTTCGCCAGCCCAGCCCTACCTACAGCCTCCCCAGGGGAAACTGCCATAGAAAATCCAGTCTGATGGATCCACAGCATCTCAGACACCTACCCATGCCCTCCCTCAAACAGAAGCCTACCATCAGGTTTTCCCTCTGGACTTCGATCTCTGAGGCCCAGGGGTGAGTGAGCACTTGTTGAGGCTGACAAGCCATGCCTTGGCCACTCTGTAATGAACCTGGAAAGGCCATCCTACTTCAGATGCTAGTAAACCGTCAGCTGGTCATGCCATTCTGGTTGTGAAGAGAAACATGGGAAGGGATAGGGAAGCAAGAGATAAGAAAAAAAAAAATGACAGTTTATCCCTAGAGCTATTGTTGGGTGGGGGTGGGATTGTGATGAAATTACCCTCTAGCTCAGGTTGCAAAGTCTACTCTCTCACACTGTTGCTCCCAAGATCCCAGGGGAAAAGAAGAAGCTACAATCGTGCAAAACACAATAGGACCCAAAACTTGGCAGTACATGAAATCAGCTCATGAATGGGGAAGCGTAAGTCATGTGTTCTTCTACAGTGGTAGAGGGCAAATTTCCCCATCAATAGAAATAAAACTAAAGCTAAACTATGAGTGCCACCTGGTGGACAGTGGCACTACTGCATGAGGCTCTTCCAGTGTGAGAGATCAGATGGACATGGGTAGGTTGGACATGATCTTCTGTTCGTGTCCACACCCTCATCTTACCCATGACATGTGGCACTTCTTTAATGTCTGGAACACTGGGGGTAATGGCTTGAGCCCCCATGTTCTGAGGACTCTTGATGTGAGCAGCAGGAGACACGGGGCAGAGACATGGGGGGCTGGGGCTGGTAAGAGAAATGAGGTGACACCATTAAGTGGTTCAAAAACCTTGATGCACACACACGAAGGTCTATGCACACTCATTAGTTCACACATAAAACTCTGAGTGACCTTTCACCTTTCACCATCTCCTGCAAGAGGTGGACCACACACCCTCCCTTTTGCGGACTCCTTTGCCTTGCAAGATCTCCCTTTGTCCTTGGAAGTCCATTTTCACCTGTGCAACTCTTGGGGTGGGTGGCTGTAAATCCTATGACACTGTGATCTGCACAGGTACTGGCAGCCCTCTAAGGATGTCCTTGGAAAAGTTGTGCCTTCATTCATTTCACTTCCCATCCTTGCCTGTGGCAGGGTCTTCAATGTGTCATGCAAATCTGAATTGCTAGTCAAGACTGCAAGCCAGGCTGGAACTGGACTCCTGGGTTCAATCTTCAAAGCGTTTCAGTCTAGCAGCTGCCGTTGCGGACAAGCTCCTGGGTGAGGGAATCAATGAGACAGCATTTATCTTCCTGACAGAAGGGCCCCCTAAGAGGCTGTTTGTTTTTGTGCTGGCACTGCAGCTGAGGAAGATGTGACTTAGATCCCAGCCCCACCTCAGTGACTTCGAAAGGGGACAGATTTTCCTCACCATAGTGACAAAACTGAGGCCACTCACAGGACAGAAGCCTGGGGGTTATAGGTCCTGCTGCCAGACAGAGGTCCTCAGTGGAGAGGAGCCGCATGCTGCTCAGGCTGGAGACTTGTCTTTGTGGGCTGAGCTGCTGGCTGGCTTCCATTTGCACAGCAAGGAGCGTGTGTCTGCGCCACACAGACCCCGAGTGCATCCTGCCCTGGCCGCCAGCCAGCCAGCCAGCCCTGAAATTTGTAAGTCACTTCTCCTCTCTGGGTCTCACACTTTGCCCCCATAAAATGGGAATAACTCTGTTTTCCTCCTAGGGTAATTATAAGAACTAATAAATTCATCAGTGTCTACCATTTGGAGGACTCAATATTAATTCCCTTTTAGTTTTCATCTCTGAAAAATGAGGGAAACAGTTACTTCTGTTTGTTATGGATGTGCTTCCAATCTTCTTCTTCTTTTTATTTTTTTTTTGCACAGGAATAATAACAAAAATGTATTTCTTTGGGCATCAGAGCCTTTTAAAAAACTAAAACACTTATTTTGTATTAAAGTAATCACCATTTAGTGATAACGTTTTTCATATAGTTTTCCTTGTATGATTTTAAAGAGATGATATGTTATCCCCACAAAACAAAAACAACTGGATATTTCTATTTTGTTCAGGTAATACTCCATAAGGAAATAAGTTCTTGCCATGGCTATATACCTCACTCCCTGCAGAGCAAGGTTATTCTCCCAACTTGTTAATAGAAATATTTATTATATGCTTAAATATTTTTTTAAAAGTATTGCTTAGGCATTGTTCTGGGGTGTGTGTGTGTGTGTGTGTGTGTGTGTGTGTGTGTGTGTGTGTGTGTGCATTTCCTAAATTTATTTCAGAAACAGTAAAACCCACTGCTCCTGGTATACAGTTCTGAGGGCTAACAAACAAACATGTAGCCATAGATCCACCTCCACAGCTGTCACAGAATAGTTCCATCACCCCCAAGATTCCTTCATGCTGTCCTTTTGGACTCACTCCTCCCTAACTGCCAGACCTTGGCAACCACTGGTCTGTGCCCGTCCCTATAGTTTCCAGAATGTCACATGTATCCTTTGGCTTCTCTCACTCACATAATACAAGGGAGATTCACCCACGCTGTTGTATTTATTGGTAGCTCACGTCCCTTCATTGCTGAGCAAACAGTGGTCAGAACCATTCTAAGAGCCATGCCCACCAGTTACCTGCATCCCCTTTCCTAGCTTGATACAGAGATAAATGCAAACTAAAGAATCCAAATGAGATTTTTTTTGGACAGGTAGACAGGAAGCTATGCTGAGGATCCAAATAATAAGATATAGAAGGATAGAAACCAAAGAAATACTCCTCAGTCTCGGGGAAGTTATCATCCTGTGATTAGCTAGTGCCATGCCTGCCGTATCACTCCAGTAAGAGAAACCAGGCCATTTCCCACAGCGAGAGACCAGCATGAGGGTCCAAAATAACACTGGGCTTAGAAAACCCAGAGGCGACTGGAATTCTAAGGGAGGGAGATTTCATGGAGACAGCAAATTAGAGGTGCCTCTAAAGTACAAGGAAGCTTTGGACAGATGGAGAGGACAGAGGAAAGAGCCACATGAGCCAGGGTTGGAGAGCAGGGCAGGAGACCAGTGGGATTTGGTGTGTAAGATAGGAAAGCAACCAGTGTGGGGAGAACACAGTGAGTGAGGGGGAGACTGTAAGAGAAGAAGCCAGGAAAGACCCGAGACCCAGAAGAAGAGGCCCAGCAGGCCAGAGGGACTTTGGATTTACTCTGAGGATGATGGAGCTGCTGGAAGGCTCTGAGCAGAAGGGGGACACAATCGAACTCGCTTATTAGCGGGATCACATCTGTAAGAACCCAGGCAGCTGCAGGAAACTGGGTAGGAGGCTGTTACTAGAATCCAGGTGATAAATCCTGACGATGATGGCAGAATGGAGGGTAGAGGTGGTGATGGGGGTCATAACCTGGATCTATTTTGAAGGTAGAGACAACAGAATTTGCTGAAATAAGCAACAGGAAATATAGGATTGCCATTCCCTAGGATGAAAAGACAACAGGAAGAGCAAGCGTGGAGGGTCAATATCAGTGGCTGACTTTCAATTTTTCTAGGTCAAAGACTCTTCTTAGACATTCCTTATGGAAATGCTGAGTAGAATCAGAGCGAGGGGAGAGCTGGAAATATAAATTAGGGTGTCATCCACATATCAGTGAACAAGCAAGATACACATAGGAGGGGGTCAGAGGAGAAAGAGGGAGGAGAGGGGAAAGAGCATCAGGATGCCACGGTGAAGGTCCAGGCTCAAAGAGATGGAGGTCTGGTCTTAGAGTAGAAGGAAAGATTGTTTTAAAGATAGTTTAAAGGATGGCCTTAGGGATGAGGATGAAATGTGCCAGTTTAAACCTTGGATGTCTTCAAGACTGGTATTACCTGACTGGAAAAAAATTATTTACAGATCTTGTTTAAATTTTGTTGCATAAATATACTTTTACAACTGATTAAAAATTGTGTGCTTTATATTACCCTGAAGGAATCAATTTAATATATTTTTTGTCTCAGTGGAAAGAATGCAAGATTTTGTTTTGTGCTATTTTGTCATCAAATGGTGACATTTGTTCAACTCCAGTGCCCTGAACAGCACCTATTGCTTTGATTTCCATGAAATATTTATCTGGAGCAGTCTGTTTCTATACATTGTCTCATATTGTTTCCAAAGTGGGCAATGTGCAGAGTATGAATAAACTCAAATTCAAATGCCCGAGTTCACTTTCCTATTAATGGAGATAATCGAATATCTCTGCCTCGATCATGATGAGTAAGGTTTCAAGGTCACCATCCTAAGTATCAGTGGTCTTGTCCCCATGCAGAGAGACAGATGACTGAAGAAGGCTACCCCAAAGCCTGGAATTCGCACTCACAGTCATGGGCTGTCTGGTTTAGAGTTCTAAAAGTGTCCTTTTCTTATTACAAGTTAATTCTGCTTTTCAGTAGCTCCTTGAGGTGACGCATATTTTTTCAACTTGGGTCTCCTCCTTCATGAAGGAGCTCCCCAGGCTCCTTATCTCACACTAGAAGCTTGAAAGTCACCCTGTCGTCCCAGCATCTCAGTCAGTGTCCAGTTCCGACACTACCCCTCCTCAGGGACAGGTCCATCTGCTCCTCCCACCTTTCCTCCGCCGCTATCTTGGAGGAAATTTTCCCAGCTCGATTATGGCCATGGCATTATAATCAGCACTCCCGCCACTCATCTCACTCTCCCCTAGTCCAGCCTCCGTGCTGTTTCTGGAGTCACTTCTCAAACATGCACAGTTCTGTTTTAAATCTGCAGCAAGTCCCCCCAAACTTGAATGAGGTTCCCAACCCCCCTTAGCACCTCATTTCAGGTTTTTGAACATGAATCTTCTCCAACCTTCTCTACATGCATCACATCATCTCCCAGCTGTAGAACTCCTCCCAGTTTCCCTAGACAGCATCTGCCTTCCTGCTTCTGCCCTTTATCCCCATTTTTCTTCTGCCTTGACCAACCCATTGCCTCTCCCTGCAATGACCTTCATCATCCTTCAAGACCCAACTCGAGCATCTGTCTCTCCCTCCATCCCCCACCAGTTAGACGGGGTGCTTTTCTCCTCCTCTTCCCATAACAATCTTACCTTCCCTCCATTCTACCTTCATCCCACTGAATCATAACCTTTAGCCTCATTTCCTGCAACACACCTGTGCCCATGTGCATGTAGACACACATACACATAAGCACACACACAAGGGTGCACATGCACACACAAGTACATGATAGAGAATCCATCTTCCACCTATTTTAACCCCTATACCCAGCATCT